GATATTTAAAAAATCACTTAACTTTGTAAAGTGGCCTTTCAAGGCAGTTACCTGGGAAACATTTCTGACGTGTTGCTCCTCCTCCCCTCTTCGTCCCCCTCCTCCCCCCTTCGTCCTCCTCCTCCCCTCCTCCTCCTCCCCTCTTCCTCCTCCTCCTCCCTGCTCCATCACCTGTCTCACTCACATCGTAGCTCATCCTGTTGTTTCTCCTCCTTCGTGGGTCGTTCAGTCCCATTCATGATTTCCGGATCGCGCGGATTCACGCTGCAGGTAGAAGCCATTGGTTTATTCATTATCGACCAGTGCAGTTTAGTTTTAGTAAAATCAGTTCAGTTCGTTAAATGTTGAGTGAAGAAGGAAAGTGATGCGCTGTTGGTTTGATTTGTTCCACGCGTTTCTCAGAGGCAGAGAGAAAGAGCTGCAGGAGCACCAGCTTCATTTATTATTATATTAATGCATTTGTTTGTGATGTTTGAGTTATTTTCATGCAAACTGCTGACAATCAATGTTTCCTGCGCCAATGAGCAGGTAGTTCTCCCCCCTGTCCTTTTGTTGGTGGGTTCGTTTTTGTGCCAGCTTTCAGTTCAGTGAGCATGTGATTAAAAACTAATGGATCTGCCCCCAAATTTAAAGGTCCAGTGTGTAGGATTTATGTGTTTGATTTAGAAATTGAATATAAAATAATCCTAGTGATGTTTCACTGGAGTGTTTCATCTGAATTGTATGAATTGTTGTTTTCTTTATCATAGACATTTACATTTAAAATGTTATATTTACATGGATTTCCTGTCTGTGGAGGCCGCCATGTTTTTTTGACTGTCGTCCAAACTGGACAAACTAAAACCTTTTGAGTTTTCATGAAGACTGAAGTTCACCACAGGTTCTCTGTCATGTTTGGAAGGGGAAGGTGAAATAAGGAGTATTCAGCTGCAACATGCAACTTCACCTCTAGATGTCACTAAATTCTACACATTGAACCTTTAAAAGGCTCCTCCCTGACCCCACCTCCACCACACTTTATGGAAATCCCTCAAGTAGATCTGGCATAATGCTTATGAACACACAAACAGGTGGACAGGGGTGAAAACATAACCTCCTTGGCGGAGGAAACAATGATTGGAGAGGTGGAAGAACAAAACACTGTTTTCAGGAGAGCTGCCTCTTGTTGTGTGGAACCTGTTGCTGTGAGTCTGACGTCAGGACGTGTGAAGATGCAGTGAATGAAACACACACACACAGTCAGACAGTCACTGCATCAGATCTGCCTGAAAACACAAGTGTTCTTGTGCTTTTCAGGTTCCTGGAACTTTAGACTAATGTGAACCTGGGATTTCTCTACCGGTCATCATGGGATGTGGCACCTCCGTTACCACGGAAACGCAAGGGAAGAAAGTCCTACAGGAGAATTCTGACGGCTCAAAAGGCAGGTAGTTTAATCTGTGCGGGACTGACTCATGTTTTCTTTGTCCCTGTCAGCTGGAAAACTCTGACATTTGGAAAGGTGTGAACAAACACAGCAGTATCAAATTAAGAGCGGGCATGTTCATACACCCGTCGTGTTTGTGTGTGAGTAGAGGAGCTGAGGACCTGAAGTGTTGGAGACTAATTGAGCACGAGTGCAACTGAATCTTGTTTTTAGCAAAACCCAATAAAAGAGAACGCAAACTCTTATTTTTCGTCCTTACACAGACTTAAAGTGGATTTTAAGACACACACAGTTTTTAATCTCCTGAAGAAGTTATCTATGAAATTGTGAACAATTTTTTTCATTAAAAAAATTTATTGATTGGAATAAAAAGAGAAAGTTATCTACAGACTAACCCAAACTAAAACATTTTTAGGTAAACCAGATACTAAATATGACATCAGTCATGCTGGTTAGATTTAAATAGACATTTGTGCTCATGTAAAACAAAAAAATGTGGTTTGTTTGTTGAAGTACATGTCTTGCTCTGCTTATCGCCTCAAAATAGCATGTGTATTATTATTCAGGAAGTGCTCCTGAAATACTGTAGTAGTAGTATTATTAGCACTTGTCATGGCAGTGTTGTGGTTTCGTCCTTTACTCAGTTTGTTCGTGTTTGTATGAATCTAACAATTTTTCATTTCCACAAACACAAAAACACACACAACCTAAAAAACCTGAAACATAACTCTACTCCTGGGGACCTTATTCTTCATCTGCACGGTGACACTGGCGCCCTTTTGGTTGGTGTGCATCCAGGTCAGTGTCCCCACTGGGATGTTAAAACGTGCACGCGTGCACTCTGCAGATGTTTGACAGATGGTGCGTTTCTGTCTTTGAAGCCTGTCGTCTCTCCTCTGTTTAATGAGAGCTGTTCTCCTGAAAGCTCTTTTAATTTGCTCAGTTTTTCCAGGCTCACTGTTGCTCATGACCTCCCCTGTGTCTTGTTATTTTTGTGTGTGTGTGTGTGTGTAAGTGTTTGCCTTTCACGTGATCTTTTTCAGTTACCTGTTATTTTAGCTGAACTGCAGTTTTTCCCATCACAGATGAAGCAGTGAAGACGACCCCCCCGGCTCTGAGTAAGAACGTGCTCGTCTGTAAACATCAGTCTGTGACGTACCAGTCGTGTGCATCTGTACATAATCACCTGATGAAAAAATACACAAAATGTAGCTTCTACTTTTGGGTCAGGATCAAATATTCACGGACACACTGTGCTCCAGCCTCACGTGTCACATCCATGTGTGTATGCGATGTCATGTCTCCTATTCAGACTCAAATGTGTTTGTGTTGTAGCTATGAAGGCAGCTGTTCTGATCCAGCGATGGTACCGGCGCTACATGGCCCGTCTTGAGATGAGACGCAGGTACACGTGGAACATCTTCCAGTCGATAGAATACGCCGGAGAACAGGACCAGCTGCAGGTGACTGTCGGAGCAGGCATTTCCCTCTGCTTCTTAGTGTCAATACACACATAGCTAACTGTCCGAAGCATCACATATAGTTTGGGTTGTCTGTAGGTATATGTGTCGTTCTTGTGAACATGATTTCACAGGAACGCTGTGAGGTCATTTCTTTATATTTGGTACAAATCTTCACTTGGACTGATTAGAATTTGATGTCCAAAGGTCAAAGTTCACGATCATGGTGTCCTCACAAACTTGTTTTTGGTGTCTTAAGCATGATGCAGTCAAAAATAACGGTGACCTTATATGAGTCTGAAAAAAGAATGTCTGTAGATTCAAACTGCTCTGGTTGAGTCAAACAACCACAAGGAGATAACTCTCTTTTCCTTCATCAGCTCTCCAGTTTCTTCAGTTTCATGTTGGACAACGTCACTCAGCTGAATGGAAGTGGGCCAGGTTAGGAGCCAACTCTTGTACATAAGTTTGTGTGTGCATGTGTGTGTGTTAAAGGACGGTGATTCCTTCCCTGTTCATTTTTTGTGAAAATATGATTTAATTCTAACATTACTGCCATTTGGATGTCATATAACACGCTTCCTGTAAACACAGGAACTCCAAACCCTTCTCTTCATTGTTATTTTTCTCCGAACGTGTAAATCAGTCACTCAAAATTGTATCATCTGGGCTGTGTGTGTCTGTGACGTACTGACAACTTATCCTCTGAGGTTATTCTGCTCAATTCTAACTTTTATTCATGTATATTTTTAGCTGTGCACATAGTAAAGAAGGAAATATATAATTATGATAAAGTTTGATTTGAATCATCAAAGTGTTAAATGGATGTTTTTAATATTTTCTAGCACAGGGAGATTTTATAAAGATGTGTTTTGTATTTACATCATATTCACACCAGTATTAGTCATGCCACTGTGTCTTAGTCGAGATTAGAAAACCCATTGCGTACACCCTGTTACTTAGCAACTGCTGTGAATGTGGAGGCCAGTGTGTTGATGTGCTGCACTGACACAGCTATGGCTTTAAGTGTGTAGTGACCCACTCATCCAGCTAAAAAGCAGAATGCTCCATTGACAAGCTAATCCTTAGGTCAGTCCTTATTGCAGCATCTGCAGCACGTCCTCTTCAGGGGTTTACATTGAGGCTGTCGTGCACCAGACTGTGTTTTTATCATCTGCAGCATCTGTGTTTGTGTGACAGAATAAAACAAATCGAACAGACTTTAAAAGGGAAACAGACTTTTTAAAAGAGATATCTGGACCTGTATAGGAGGAGGATTGTTTCATGTGCATATATTACAGGCCATCAGTTTTTATTAGCATAATCAAGTGGTTTTTCAACATATCCCAGTGAGATCATGCAGAGATCTACAGATGAAAATCTGTCTATGGAATATGTTGGAATTCAGTCGTGTCTTTACCCGTTTTACACTATGACACAATCTTATGTCCAATCCTCGTGTTTTTGCAACAGTGAACCAAGATTATCCCCTTTTGTTGATTCCACACATTATTCTTGAGTGGCACGGTGGTGCCTTGGTTTAAATCCCAGCTTGGTCAGGTTCTGTCAGTTTGCATGTCCTCCCAGTGTCCGTGCGATTTTTCCTCCCACAGTCGAAAGACATGCAGATTGAGGTTAAGTTGATTAGAGACTCATAGTGAATGCAAGTGTTAGTGTTGTTTGTCTCTGTATGTTGGCCCTGTGATACGATGGCGACCTGGTGTACCCCACCTCTCACCCATCGTCAGCTGGGATTAGCTCTAGCTCGTCCTCTGAGAAGGTCCATCCATTCACCCATCCTCTGTAGCTAACCACTTATCCTCACAGGTCACAGCACCCTGTGGCCTTGAACAATATACGATTGTATGTTTGTGGACTAAAAACATGTAAGAGAATAAGTCTGGAGCTCAGTATGTTCACAGCTCCGCTCACTGTGACCTCCAGACCTGATCTCCCAGCTGCTGGACCCGCTGGTCGATCCCTGGTTGGACAGAGAATCGTGCTACGACCAGATCCCTGTTCCAGAGTCGTACGCCGGGCCCCGACTGTCGTTTCCTCTCTCCGTCTCGGATACAAACGCTCTGCTCAGTGCATTCAAAGAGCAGCAGGTAACCAAATATGTGTCTTCTCTCTTTCTCACTCTCTGGTTTTTATCTCAGGGACTCATTCCTCTTTCTTCCACGCAGACTCTGCATGCCAGATATGTTCTGCAGCTGCTATACGAGACCAAAAAACTCCTAAAACAGATGCCCAACATCATCCACCTGTCAACGTCCTACATCAAGGATATCACCATATGTGGTGGGTGAACATGGCCTCACTTTCACTTATGACTTTAAGGCTCCAAAATGTTTTTTCTGCAAAGGAGGATGAAAAGGAGCGTGCACCTGCTGCGTGCATCACAGTGAGCCCCTGAATAAATGAATGACCTACTTACTGTTTAAACGACTGCTGATGTGTTTCAAATACAGTTAACTGTATCTTAATGGCATCGTTCCGAGAAGGAGGGTCTTGTTTATTTGCACACTGATAAGCCACTTAACGTCTCTTCCATGGCTACTTCCTCCTGCACAGTCGCATCTCATTACACTCAAGAATACTTGTGAATAATACAAAAACACACAATATGATTCATTTAGCATGCTTTACCATTATTCTCCATCTGTTAAAGGTGATCTACATGGGCGGCTTGATGACTTGCTTCTCATATTTTATAAGGTACAGCCAAATTTCTTTCACTATTTTCACTTATTAGATATTTTACAGCAAAATAACATGTGGTCTTTATGGAAGAAAACATCTCTAAGATCTGATTTGACATTTTTATTTTTATGTTATGGTATTTTTGTGTTTTTCAGAACGGCCTCCCCTCTGCGGAGACGCCATATGTGTTTAACGGGGACTTTGTGGACCGTGGGAAAAAGTCTATCGAAGTGGTCATCCTCCTGTTCGCCTACCTTCTGCTCTACCCCGACTACATGCACCTGAACCGAGGAAACCATGAAGACCACATCATGAATCTCAGGTGGATGAAAACAAAAGTAGAAATGAAAGTAAACGTGAATGCATCGATGTCTGCCACAAATATGAATGTTAAATATTAGAAAAACAATATCTCAGTGTGATTTTGTTTTGTCTTTTGTCAGATACGGGTTCACAAAAGAGGTGATGCAGAAGTACAAGGTACAGTAAAGTCCAGATCCATGTCATTTTTCTGCTTTTGTTATGCATAGAACTATTATTTACTTCCTGTGCAGACTCACGGCCATGAGATCCTGCAGCTGTTTCAGGACATTTTCAGCCTCCTGCCCGTCGCAACAGTCATTGACGGAAAGATCCTGATTGTACATGGAGGAATATCAGACCAGACTGACCTGGACTTCCTCAGCTCCATAGAGAGACACAAGGTCTGCGGACACAGTCAACCTTCATCCTCCGTCCTTTCTCTTTTAACGGCATGAATCCCTTATCTCCTCCAGGTGAAATCTGCCCTGAGGTTTCCCCGACGCAGTATGGAGCAGCTGGACATCGGTCAGTCCAGCAGACAGGCAAAAAGAATGAGACTGACAGACGGCTCTCGTCCTGGCAGCAGTAGAAGCCAAAGCAAGAACCAAAGGAACCAATTAACACCCAGTCTGAGGTCAGACGGCCCAGCACACAGACGCCTACAGATGTTACAGAGTTCAAATGTACAATGAGTCTGAAAATGGCAGACTCTGTTTCCTGTCCCTTTTCTTCTAAAGGAAGAGGCAACGTGGGCTCAGCCGACAAGACAGTGCTGCCTCCAGTTCTTCCTCCTCCTCGTCCTCCTCCTCTTCCATCTGCTCACCTCGGACTCCATCCTGCCTCTCGCCTCGTCCGTGCCCATCTTCTCCCAGCATGCCTTACACCATCAATGTTCTCCAAGTGCCTTTCCTGGACTCTCTGTCCACTGTTCCTCCTCCCCCACCGCCGCCGCATGATCGGGAATGGAGACAGGTCAGAGGCAGGAATTAATATTGTTGAGCAGTGATCCATTGTGAAGTGTTCTATGTCTTGTTCATCAGCGTTCCTCTCTGTTGCAGATTGTGGATATATTGTGGAGTGACCCCAAAACCCAAGAGGGCTGCAGTCCCAACACGTTTAGAGGAGGAGGCTGCTACTTCGGCCCCGACATCACCCAGAGACTGCTGCTCCAACACGGACTCCAGTTGCTCATCAGGTCCCACGAGTGTAAACAGGAGGGATATGAGCTCTGTCACGGTGGACAGGTAAACGCAGTGCAGTAAAATGTTGTCTAAAAAGTTTGCGACTGCAGAAATGAATGTGTGCACTTTTGCTCTGCAGGTGATCACCATTTTCTCAGCGTCAAACTACTATGAGGAGGGAAGTAACCGTGGCGCCTACATCAAACTGGGCAGGGAGCTGGTTCCCCGCTTCTACCAGTACCAAGTCAGCCGCACAACACGCAAACTCACCCTGACACAGAGGTACATGTCTGATGTGTACTGTATATGTTTGTTTAACCACAGCTGGGAGTTGTTGCTGAGGCTATTAGTCAGTTTAATGTAAATTCATTCAAACAAATGGAACATCTTTCTGTAGAGCGCCAAGGCCAAACAGTCCCATTGAATTCAATCAAACTGCACCAATTATTACACTCAAGCCTTTTTTCCACTGATCAAAAAACCCACTAACATCTGGCTTTAGTCTGAAATGTGAATGGATACAATTGACATTCATTCCCAGGTACATCCTTCCTCCAAGTTTTTTGGAAATCCGTTCAGTAGTTTTTGAGAAGTCTTGCTTACAAACAAGAAAACAAACAGACAAGGGTGAAGATAAAACCGTCTTTGCAGAGGTAAAGATTATTGCAAGACAGTAAAATGATTAATGTGTGAAGCTAATAAATAATGATAGATATTTGTTAATGACGTGTTAACCTTTGTCTTTTCAGAGTCCGAGTGGCTGAAGTCTCGGCTCTCAGGGCCTTGAAGGAGAAGCTGTTCGCCCATCGCTCTGAGCTGATGACGGGCTTCCAGCAGTACGACCCGAACAACACCGGTGACCTTTACCCTCCCTGTTCATTTACCTTTCTTATAAACACGTGCTCACATGTTATACATGTTATACGTCAGTGTGTCTTCTTCAGGTCATTTGTCGGTCAGTGAATGGGCTCAGGTGCTGGAGTCTGTGCTGAGGCTGGATCTGCCCTGGAGGACTCTCCGTCCACACTTATGCCGTCTGACAGCAGATGGCAGTGTGGAGTATCAGTCCTGCTTTGAGGACATGAGCCCAGAGATTCCTCTGCCTCAGGTCAGAGTAAACAAGTACTGTCCCACAGTACTTCTAAGTACTGTAATGTATTACTTCACTGTACACATCAAGAGTTTTCAGTGTCTACCATCTATCTGCTTTCTATTTTTTCCTCTCCCTCTTTTGTCAGGTCGCTCCAAACTTGGCTGAAACTCTGTTCAGATACAGGACGGACATCGAGATAATATTCAACATTATAGACAAAGACCATTCAGGTAAGTAACTACTGTGTCTCTTCGAAGACAATGTCTCTATGATTCAAAATTAAGTGTGAGTGTGTGTTATGTTCAGGTCTGATATCCACCGAGGAGTTCCGTCACACCTGGCGTCTTTTCAGCGCTCACCTGGGCGTTGACATCGATGACAGGGCCATTGATGAGCTGGCGCGGAGTATCGACTTCAACAAGGATGGCAGCATAGACTTTACTGAGTTCCTGGAGGCCTTCAGAGTCGTACACAAACTGGACAACAAGGATCAGCAATTCAAGTGCTCGTGACGGGATTGATCAGAATACTGAAATGTGGAAGTCACATTCAGTAGAGAAAAGAATGGAAGAAGGAAAGCAGGAAAAGATAAAATAACACAACTAGAAGTGTGCAGTAGAAGAAAGTGACGGAAAATCCTAGGTGCTTGGGTCACATATAATGGAAATCAGAGTAATCCTGCTGACAGATAGGTGACAATATAAGTACTTTGGCAAAGTTTCTCAAAAGTCCACTTTCAAACATATAATATGATGATGAACTCATATTTATATTATGGGTTCAAATCAGGGTCAAAAAGATTGTAAGCCTTTGAAGCAATGTTATAAAAATAGTTTGTAGCTGTAAATAAAGTTTGTACATGTATAGAAATTTGTGTAAAAAAATTATGTGTGAATAAAACATGTAAAAAAATTATATGAGTGACCATGTTATAGAAAGTGTGTGTGTGTGTGTTCATATGACTCTGGCACCCCTCTCTCTATAATTACCACACGGTGGGAGCAGTAAAACAGACCCAGGCATCCTGAGTAAATAATAGGTTCAGATTTTTACTGGAGACATACATGCACACACACATGCACACACACATGTACACACACAGCGAAAGACAAATAGGGAGGTCTAATCATTTTCAACCTTAGCGCTTAGTGAGGGATATTTTAAGGGATATCAAACAACTATAGGTGTATGACATCACATCATTTAAAAAAACGAAATTGTTGTTAACGATCATTATTATTATAATGTAGGTAAATAGAGTGTCTCCCCCGATAACTCAACATCCATCTGTCAGAGTGTTTGTGTGCACCGTCTCACCCCCCCTGCCTGCCTGTCCTTCTTTATCTCCCCTCCCCTCAATTTTCAACCTCTCATATACTCCCCCACTTTCTCTCTCGAAGTTCTTCTCCTCCTATTCTTTCTCCCCCAAACCTTGGGAGAGGTCCAGTTGTGTCACTCGAGATAAGAAATGGGGCTTCTGGCAGTAGTGGTCATGCTGATCAGCATCTACACTCTGGGTAAGTTTATTTTTTCTAACACGTGTGTTTTTCACATGAACAGTGTCTTCAGTCGCTCATTGTGAGACATGTCCACAGCACGTTCTGCTGAGGGATGCAGTGGTTTTCAACACCTGGAGAATGGGAGGACATTTTTCCGTTACAGTGGACTGTTTGTGATCTTCCGCTGTCGTCCTGGCTACAAGCTCCATGGGTATAAAACCAACAGCTGTGTGTCTGGACACTGGTCCCGGGACCCACCAGTCTGTGTTGGTAAGGAGCTTTATTCATGAGCATGTGGATTCTATTTATGTCAATAATACATCTCAAAGACTAGAATGGATCTTTTTTATCAAGATCCATAAATTATTCACTGGTAAATGAATAATTATGTCATAAAAAGGACATATTCCTTAATGTTAAGGGGTTCATTTTCCTCAAGTTTCATTCCATTATTATCTTTTATTGTTATATTACTGATATTACAAAGGCTGATATGATATTGATAATGATAATGATTCTCTGCCCCCCTTTTTAGGCTCTGGCTGCTCCGACCCGGGGCCCCTGACCCACGGAACAAGCAGCATGAATGAGGATGGCTCATGGGCAGTTTTCAGCTGTAATAGTGGTTTTCGTCTACTTGGGCCCTCAATGTTATATTGTAAGGGCCACAACTGGAATAGCACAAAGCCTGTATGCAAAGGTGAGCATGACAAAAAACCTCTTGTGATAGTATGCATGTTTTGGGGGATTTGCTGCATCAGGAATAGGTCCTAAAGCCTGGAAATGAGTTCTGAGAAGACTTCTTGTTTCCTTGGCCCTAATTCATGGATTTATCTGTTGCCTTTTAGATTATTGCTGCAAAGACAAAACTAAATTTAATGACAACTTTTACTCATCAAGATAATCTTCACAAATGAACACCACGTGTGGGATTTCTGAAATCGAAATACAACCGACAGAAGTAATGCAATGCTACTAATAAAGAACAACACCAATGCACCAATGCACTTCAATGTCACCACCACTTCTGACTTTAATTTGATTTACTTCTACAAATATTTCCTCTTATAAAGTTAGTAATAGTATGGAAGATGTGTGAGTATAAATGATAGACTGGTATAAAGACAAAAAGGATGTAAACGCAGACGAGTAAGGACATCAGCAACCGCACAAGAACTAACCAGTGGGTTATTTACGGATGTGTCTTATGTCGTAGAATATAACGTGATATCTATGTATCAGTCTCACCACTATTTCAAGAATCTTAACAAAAAACCTTGGGGAAGAGGAAAACAAAAAGTCTTACCGAAACTTATTTCCAGGTTTTAGGAATCATTCCTGCAGCCCTCTATGTGCCAGACTATGTCGAGGATGGTAACAAGCTCTTTACCATTTAACTGTTTTCTCCTCGTTAGAGTTCGACATGATGAACTCAGTTTCAGGTGTTAGTGTGCAAAAGGCTGCTGCCGTCCTGAAGACCCAGCAACAATCCCACTACGACACTGTGGCCAACACACCGTCCAAAGATGCAAACCTCAAGTTTGGCCTAGCTTTGTCTCATACTCCACCGCAGAGGTCCAACAGTGAGAGGATTAAAGTGACAAACCCAAAAGTCCACTTGCAGCAGCACGTTCAGTTTCCCAGTTTAAAAGTCAAAGGTCGACTTCAGGAGACCAATGACGCTCAAAGACTGGAAACAGGAACTGGGATTCTTGGCACAGAGGCAACAGCTCCAGACGCGAATTTAAAAATAGTGGGTGAAGTCACTCAAATGTTTCCTGTTAGATCAAATCTATCTACTGCCGTCTCATCGACCTCATCGTTAGTGTCAGCAACAGAGCGACCAGTTTCTTCACCACCATTGATTTCAACAGCCCAGACATCACCTGTCACTGCAGTCAAGCATATGTTCCCGACCGTGGTCAGATTCGGACGACCTGTCAGACTCCAGGAGCACGTGACTCCCTCTGAAGTGGTAACAATCTCTTCAGAAACTGCAGGTGAAGACCAACTGGTAACTGGTGTCCAGTATCCTTCATCATTCAGCTCTGTAGATAAAGAGGAGCCCAGAGAGACCTTAGCATCCACTTCATCTCCTGCTTTATTGCCACTGTCCCCTACTTCCTCAAGTCCTGACTCCACCTCCCAGTCCAGTATCCAATCACAAATGCCTAATGTTACCTTTCCATATAACTTATCCACCATCGCAAAATTTCAAAGGACCAAACTCCGTAACCTCCTGACAAACACCACCTCCACGCCACCTTTGCTGTTTCCGAGTCTCAGCCGACGACCTGTGTGCCCGTACCCACCTGTGCCCACCCACGGGACCTTCTACTTCCGTAATGTAGAGAATCCTGGTCCCAGAGCGTACAGACATTACATACAGTATGCCTGCTATCCCGGATACACACTGGCTCATGGAGCTGTACATAGCTTCTGCCAAGAGGGGGCGACCTGGAGCGGAATCACACCTGTCTGTTTGGGTAGGTAGTGCCGCTGCTTCATTACTTATTGCCTCCATCGAGGAGATAATGTTTTCATTGAGAAAGAACCAAGAAACAAAATTTTGGTGCAGACGAAGGGGCGGATCCAGGATTTCTTTTACTTTCTTTATCAATGTGAGATAGGATGGTTTTTTTTAACATTTTCACTGATGTCCTCAAGATCAATTCATTAAACTTTCTGGAAGACATTGTCAGATATTGATAATGTAAATATTTTTGGCAGGACACACTGATAGAATAAGACACATAAAGAATTAAGGCGAAAACGCTATCAACTAAGATAATTATCATCTTAAAACTACATTTTGAATCAGGGTACATTCTCAAGACAGGGACACAAAATGGAGGAAGACCCTACATAGGTGATATTTATAGATTTTTGACTTGATCCAAATGATATGGAGTAACCTTTATTTTTTTTGTTCCCGCTGAACTTCTGGGGCACATGGGCAGTTGTCTGCTTTTCTGGGTTGATAATCCAGCCCTTGCTATTACCCCTGAACTGATCTGATCCATCCTCACTGTTCTTCTCCAGAGTTGACGCCATGTTCCGTGAACAACGGAGGCTGTTCCCAGCTGTGCTCTCACTCCCAACACCTCAACCAGAGCTCCAACCAGACTCAGCTGAGAGCTCAGTGCCACTGCAGACCTGGATTCACTCTGCTGGATGACGGGCAAACATGTCGGGGTGAGCACATGAATGAGTAAAGCTTTCACTGTGGCATAACTCGTTAAACCTCTGTGGAGCTCCTCCTCCGAACGTCACAGTGTCTGAGGCGTGTCACAGCACGACAGGGAATCTCCTTCACGTTTTATGTTTGAAGCTTCACGGCTCACTGACGAGTATAAGTGAGCTGTGAAACTTACAGCAGCAGGATCACCACAGCCTGACAGTTACCTATTATACTGCCTCCAGTTACACGCGCCTGCTCACACACAACCCATCATTTGAGAGAGCCATCAGTGGAGATGGAGTGGGTGGTGGTGATATTATTTCTGAACAGTGTTATTATCAGTGTGCCCATTGACAGACAGCGTGGTCAGACTGATTATAGTTTAGTTTTCAGCCTCAAAATGTCACTGCAGTGAAATAAGGCTCATAAACATTCCTGTCTGACAGAGAATCCATTTTTATTTTGGTCCTATGTCCACATAGACTTCAATAGAGATCATAGACTGTGTATCAGGGACGGACTGGGAATAGAAAATTTTTCTGGGTCAATGCTACGATGTTATGCTCGTAAAGATGAACGTTTCACAACTTCTAACCCCGAGCGAAGCGACGGCATCACAATCAAGTTTAACCAGATAGAAAAGTTGAAATATGTGGAACCATTGAAACAGAAAAGGCAGGTGCACGACGATGTTGAGGAAGGAGCTTTCTTATATGGCAGGACCACACAGGGCAGAGCTGTTTGCTGAATCCACAGGATCTGGTTTCCTGACTGTGAAGAGCAGGAAGTCAGAAAACATCTGTGCTGTGGTTTGTTCATTACAGACCACAAACAACAAGCAAACACAGTGAGGATTCAGATTGTGGCTTGATCCAGAAGGAGATGACTCCTTTCATTTGCTGCTCTTTTCTTTCAAAGATTCAAAGATGTTGTCCTATTGAATGTGTGTATATTTTTAGTTTATGTGTGTGTCCATTCTGCCAGTCAAACCTTTTCCAACCAAATCGTTCTTGTGTGTGTTTGTGTGTGTTTTGTGTGTGTGTCTATAGATTTAGATGAGTGTGCAGACGGGCAGCACCAGTGTCACCAAAGATGCATCAACACATTCGGTTCTTTTAAGTGCGGCTGTGACGATGGCTATCATCCAGCCCCGGACCAGACCTCCTGCCTAGGTGTGTGTGTGTGGCTGTGTGTATTTATATATTTGTGTCTGTTTATTTCATTTCTGTCATAGTGTTTTATTTTTCAACGTCACTCTTCATCTTTCCAGATGTGGATGAGAGCTTGCCTCCTGCAGCTGTAACAGTCTGTGTGTTTGGTTGTGTTAATGCTCCTGGAAGCCTCATCAATGTTAGCGGTTGGGACACTGACCAAACTCCAGATACATTTTCCTTAAAGATGATTTCTGTCATTTAAACAGTTGATCTCATCACACTGAAGTGTTTATACTCCCAGTAAGTTTGGTTTTAAACTTCACAAGATTAAAGCCTGTTTCATAAGGTCATTTAACATTGAAAGGATTCCTTTGAATTCCCGAAGCAAAAATTGCGCTTTGTAAAATGTTACTGCAGAGACCTTAACATGCCTCCATGCCCAGAAAAGCAGACAACTGCCCATGTGCCACTCTGATAACACAATGCTGGGGTTCCCGGTTTTGTTCACAGATATAAATGAGTGCCAGGAGCAGAAGTGTGAGTGGCAGTGTATCAACCTGCTCGGCTCTCACCGCTGCATCTGCCCCAGAGGATACACACTCCACAGAGATGGGCAACGCTGCCAGGGTCAGTACACTCATGCACACTCACACACGTTACAGTAAAGTGAATAGAACATTTTCATACAAGTTTGTCTGTTTGATGGCAAGAAGTCAACAATAACACATGATACTATGAAACAGTAAGATTTCATTGTGTGTGTTTAACAAAATAAGATGATTGTTAAATTACAATTACTTTATAAAGATGTTTTTAGCTTAGGCATTTTTTCCCTACTTTTTTACAGGATATTCATCTTTTATTCAGGCTAACTTACAAAAACAACAGTGTTGATTTGCTCAAATGACTTTTATTTACATTTCATCAAAGCATGTCACACAGGAGATGGTTGGATGTCATATTGATCATTTAAAAAATTATCATAAAACACTAATGGTCATAATAATGGGAATTATCTTCTTAACTTTGTCTGATCTTGTTTCTTAAGTTGCTCTGTCTCCATGGTTACTCTCAGCTATCGGAGTGCATGTGGATGAATAATAGTCAAAAAGTGTTTCATGACAAACATACATTTACCATACCATGTAAGACAATGTAAATATTATGTGTGTAGTCGAAAAATAATTTCCTCATCAACCAAAATCACACTGTGAGGTGAAAACTGTTTCAGTTTAAAAAATCTTTCCTCTCCTCCAGACATTAATGAGTGCAGTCAGAGGAATGGCGGATGTTCCAACCTGTGTGTGAACAGAAGAGGTGGATATAAATGTGCCTGTCCAGCCTCCCATCGCCTCTCCCCTTACAGCTGGAAGAAATGTGTACAGAGGGCCACAGCGACCACTGCAGGCTGAGCTGGAAAACACACCTCATGCTCTACTGCTCACAGTCCCAGAAGAGTTTTCAAGACAGTGATGAGCAAGAACTAGAAGAGGTGACATGTTATTGCTGCTGGGACACTTCCACTAGTCATTCAAATGTAATTTAAATGATGCATTGTAAAACACAATATTAAAAAGAATACCAAAGCTTG